ACTTAGCACGGAATCATCGGGGACGCAAGACGGTGATCCGAGGTCTTCTTCACATAATTCATCAGTCAAAAGTCCAAGGCAACCCTCCTGCGGTATCCGGTGAGGCCAATTTATAAATCCCTTCAACTCGTCTTCTTAAACGAAATGAAAGATGCGCCAGTATTGAAACCCACCTTTTCTTCATTTCTCAGAGGCTTGGTATATTCCCAGAAGTTTCGCCAACATCGTCAGTGATCCTTGCCATTCTTAGCACCATATCACAACACGTCGAAGATTCAAGTGAATTCGATCTTCTGACTAATTTTTTACTAAACAGTTGTGATATCTTCACTGTTCTGGTGTATTCACCTATCTCATATCCTCTTAACATTATCACAGCGCATTTTGGAGGATGAGGGAACCAGTGGAGAGTGTGAATATGCCTCATTAAGTACGCTCAAAATGGCAAGCCTCAACGAGGTTTAGATAAAGAAGAACTTGTGATAGTGAAGGGGTTTTACGATTATTTAGGTTAGGTGAATAGCCCAGAATAGAAGGAGAGATACCATAACTGTTTAGCAGACAATTTTTTAAGGGATTATGGTGATCTCTTTGCTGAGTTGTGGTGTGGTGCTAGAACTGGCAAGACTCACTGACGATGCCGGAATGTAACAAGTCCACGGTTCGACTCTGGAAATTATCACGCATACTATTGACTCTGGACAAGGTGATTTCCTTTATGTTAGCCTGACAATACGACCAAGCTGCGAAAACAACAAAGATGCATCGAAATCTCTACCAGTTGCTATCTTCTTTTTTATATGCTCTACCAGTATTGGTGGCGAAAAGTAGTAGATTTTGCCGAACAACTATCGTGTAACTCGGAGCCCTCCTTCAAAATTCTGTAATCTTGAAGGGCATTAAAGATATATTTTGTGAATCCGATCAAAATAAAGATTTATTTATGGAATTGTAAATCTTTTTCTTCCCTACTTACTTCCTTATATTGCCACTGAGTTCACGTTTTTATTTTGAAGTTTCCTCTTGGACATCCATAATTTTAATCTTTATTTCTTAACATTATCTCGAAGGGCGATTGTAGGGCGTCGAAAATGACTTCCCCTCCTGTCGATTCGCCTTTGAACTCAACGGTCAGTTCCATGGACGACCAACTCGACGTCGCTGAGCCGATCGCAGAGGTCATAATCAATGGGCCAGGCAAGGAATCTGGCAGCGCTGTGGCCGAAGTAACGGCCACGAGGCCTACCAGCCTGACCAAAGGTACCTACCTGATGGAGGGTGAGTCAAAATTTTCTTTCATTTTCATTTGAGCTATATTTATCCCCATTATTTCGTCCGCTCGTGCGATATTGGCTGGCTGCAACATTGAAGCAGCTCATGCACATCGCTAGCAAACTATTACTATCTCTTTCCTCCTATTCCTCTTTATAGCCTAGACCGTGAC